CGCCTCGCCCTCCCACTGGCCCACGCCCGCCTGGGGAGCGTCTGTGCCGCCTAGGTAACAGGTGTTCTCTCTCCCAGACTTTTATTCAAATCTGTCTCGGCTATTTTCACAAGAGGGGTGACCCTTTGGTGGGGTCAGTTTTTAGAGGGCTGAGGGTCACTAATTCATATTCTCTCTCTCAAATCAATAAAGAAATAAACATTTTTAAAAACAACCTGTACATTCCACGTTAAATGGTTTGGAAAAGGAAACAAGGTGTGATTCATTGGCAAAAGCAAGCTGTCCTATATTTAGGTGTTTCTGTTGTATATCTACATTGCACCTAAAGAAGAAATTTGGGGAAACAAAGACAGAATGTTCACACAAACACAATATACTGTTGCTACCTGTGTGAAGAAATGGTCCAACCTGCCGGTCAGCGTGGGAGTCACACGTGGTCACTCTTTTCCAGCTTCTGGGTAGATCCTGTTAGCAGGGTTCAGTGAGCCTTCCTGGAGCCCCTCAGCCCAACCCCGATTCCCAGGAGCCCTGGGTCCTGAACCCGGTCCAGAGAGTCCCAGCGCCCAGCAGAAAGGACAGGGTCACAGCCACCCGTCCTGCCTCCCCTCCCCCGCTGGGAGGAAGACTCCAGGTCACAGCTGTCCCGCTCCGGGCCCCACGCGTGGCCCAGTCAAGAAGAGGGAGGCCCTGCAGGCCCTTCCAGAACCCGTCCACGTGGTGGAAACGCCCTCCTCCCACGTCGCTAAGCCTCTGCCTTCCACGGGGGTCCGTGACCAAGAGCCCGGCTCCTCACGCCAGGACCTCATCGAAAGCCCACATTCACATCAGACAGGCCGTCCCTGGGGGAGCTGCAGAGCGAAGATTGATCTTTTCTTTAATGTTTCATTTTTCCATTTCATTGTTTTTACTGACGTTTTCAAAATATCCCATATTTGTCCCACTCTCGTTTCGTTATGGAACTGAAGGTGTTTGGTCGCCCAGTGTAGCAGGGCCCAGCCCCAGGCCCTGCGAAGGGCGTGCCTATCTTGTCAGGAATGGTGCCCCCAGGAGAACGGGCGCTCATGCTTAAATACCAAACCCCTGATGGGACACGGCTGCAGAGTATAGAGGGCAAAGCCACACGACGCCTGAGTTCTGGGTTCAGAGTCCCGATGGGAGCCGACTGCTGGAGGGGAGGTCAGGGGGACCCATCGTCTCTTCGTGTCTTGAGGACAGCCCTGCGGCCGTCCTACCTTGGGGCTCAGGGACTGAGGCGTAACTTCAGTCACGATGCTACCTCAGCCTGCCGGGGTCCAGCCTGTGACCACTGGTCAAGTCCAGGCTCCTGTCTCCGGCTGCCTGGGGAGTTGCTGATGCCCCGGGGGAAGGCTGGGTCTCTGAGAGGCCCCACGCAGCAGTGCTCATGCTGGGAGCATGTTCCTGCCCTGGCGGCCCAGGGCGTGTAGCGAGGTTCACATCAGTGAGGCGGAGCCTCCTCGCGCTCCGGCAGAGGGAGGGCAGAGTGGGCTGGAGCTGCGTGAGAGAAGCCGGATCCAGGCTCTCCCAAGACTGATTCTTTCCGCAGACACTGCCTCGGTGCTAGGACTCCTCAGTGAACCGACCCGGCAACACCGCATCCCTCTCGAACTCCCGTCTTGTGGGAGGAGAGACAGGGGCGTAATCGATGAGAAAAGGGCACCGCATGTTGGGTGGTGGGAAGTGATGTGGGAGGGGAACCGGAACAGAGCGGGAGGTGGAGCGTTCTGGAGCACCTGCCTCCAGGTGACTTCCTGTCTGGGCTGCGCCCCGAAGCAGCGTCGGTTTCCACAATAGCAATGATGTGCGCCTCTCCAGCAGGCGCCCCACTGATCCACACTAACGGCGTCCGGTTCGGGTGAGCCCGAGCCTGCTCCTCCCTCACCGCAGAGCAGCTCCGGTCATGGTCTCCTGTCTTCACCAACAGGAGGCTTCGTTTACTGCAGCGAGAAAGGGCAGGTGACTCCCCAAGGGCACCCGCTGCTGAGGTCAGAGTGAGGGTTCCCACGGGCTGACTACGATTGTCCCAAAGCAAAGAGCACGGGCCAGGAGCCAGAGGCTCCAAGTTCAAGGCCCAGCACGGCCTCTCCCTCAGTGTCCAAAACCGGGAGACGTTTATCAGACCGGAGGCCAGGCTGCGGCATCCATTGGAAGGCGTGTGCAGGTGGGACGCTTAGAGGCAGCAGCAGGCTGTGCAGCCCTCCACCTCCTGTGACCCGGGAAGTAAACCCTGTAATGAGAAGGAGTTATTCTTGCAGCATGTTGCACACAACTCCCAAAGCAACCCTTACTCAAGTTGGAAAAATTAATACAGCATACATTTTCCGTCTCTAAACTAGTTATCTGACTCAAAGGGACACAACGCCTCTCCTTCCTCTGTCATGTAAGTCCCTGAAGAACTGTCCCCCTGGCCTGGAGCCTCCGTCTAAGCCGGTAGATCAGACCGAACTCCTGGCTGCACACGCCCGGATCTGGGAAGCCTGGCTGTGTCGGCTTCAGCGTCGCCTCTCCGTCTCCCCAGGCACCTGGAATGCTCAGTAAATACTTGGGGAACAGGAAATTCTGAATGTCTTTTGTTTTTTCCAAGGAAGTGCCAAACACTTGCAAGCTAAGAAGCTATTTATGCCTCTGCTTCTGAATAAGAGTAAAATATTAGCACAGAGGGAGACGTGCAGCCCCTTTGATTCCCATAACGTACGGAGGCTGGAGAACATGTGGAGCGCGTTCACACGCTCACTCACACACCGTCAGGCGCTGAGGACACAGGTGAGCCTGCCTGGCGGACCACACCTCATTGCAGCAAAGCTTTGCTGACGGAGGGAGTGGGGAGGGGAGCCTGGCCACGTCCAGTCTGGAAACAGTTCCCCAAAGGAGTGCCTGAGAGTAAAGGCTGAGGGACAAGGGCCAGGCCGCAGGGCAGAGGTCAGGGGACACACGGGAAAGCCCCAGCGCCAGCCTCGAAACCCTCCATCCACACTCTTCACCAGGAGGCCGGGGCCTGGGCCTTCGCTCCGTCCTTGGGTGCAAAGGCCTGAGGCAGACGCCCGGGTCTGGTTCCCTCCCTGCCTCTCCCTTCCTTCTCAGCAAGGAGAGCTACAGTGGAGGCAGAGG